TTAAACATTTCGTTTCATCATGGGTACAATTATATGGCCACTTACGCCGCCTAAACGATTAAAATAAGACGTAGTATCGTTTCTGCTATGATCAGCATGTTTTAAGTGTAAAAGTAGCCACGGCAGAAACGATAATTCAGTTAAAGTTAAAGATAGTCTATGGTCAGGTCTGTTTAATCTCAGTTCATAGACAGCCTATGGTTAGGTCCGGTTCGGTCACACACAATTCAAATCCACATAATAAAGAATATTGTATTAATTTTGAAATAAAGTGTTTTTTAAAAACGTGAGTTTCAAATTAATCAATAAAATTGTACTAAACACTGCACACCTGATCGTATAAATAAAATCTGACTGCAAAATGTAAAAAAAATCATGTATCGAGGGAATCGCGAGATGGAATTCCATCATAAAATGCTCACTTCTGAAAAGGTTTCTCTTCACTATTAAAACTTTTAAATAGATTTTGAAAGTTCCAAATGCGGTGAAAGTTTCGTTGCGAACGTTTAGGTGACACTGGAAAGCCTGCCTTTGGAGACAGACGAACTGAGTAACAGCATTTGGAGTTGAAAAAGATATCCACCAAGTAAAAAATCATGCCTTAAAAAGTTTAAGAGATTTTCAAACGTTTTGCTTGCTATGTGCCTGCTCAAAATATAAAAAAAGAGATTTAAAGCACAAAAACAGCTTGCTGGTACAGTATTGCCAAAGACATTGTTGGGTTCATGTCAACAGCAAGTAGATTAAAAGTCGACAGTAACATGTTTCCTCCGAAGCAACATTTTCATTAGGCGAATCTACTTTCATTTTCATTGTTAAGTGATCCAGCAAGGGCTTTTGCGGAGAATGTGCTGTTTCGGTAAATAATTTTCTAATAAAAGACAAGACCTGAAGGTATCTCGGGTTTCTTGGACTGCTGCTCGTAAGTAAACATTAATATTCAGAGAACAAAAGGGTGGTTTATTACAAAGGGTCGAATTGTGATGGATAAAGCATTACAAGCTGAGGAAAATATTTTACTCGTGCAGGCAGCTAGTTGAAGCCGGTGAAAATTCTGTTCGTTTAATTTTCTAGTGTCAGGCAATAATATCAAGCTGGAAATTCTTATCGAAGACCTGTTTTAATTTAAAATTCGGCATAATACCGAAAAGAAGTTTCCAAAGCTGGTATTTAAAAAGCCTATTTCCATGAAGTGGTTTGAGGTTTTTAAGGGGGAGTCCATAATCCCAGGAATTAGGTCAAGAACTTCTCCCTTTAAAATACGTCCATTGGTTTGAGTGGGTGTTCGAAACGTAGCACAAATGGAAAAAAGCTTATCGGTTTCGTTGTCAAATTTAATCTCAAATGAACGTTGCAGATAATGGACACAAAGCCATTTTGACCTGCGGGCACAACATCGCCGCATCCCACACATGTGCATTATTTCACCCTTTCCAGACTTGCATGTATCACGTAATTAAATTCGCTTCTCTTCGTAACTTCTTCCTAATCCAAGATTAATATTCTTTTTCCAAAACGATTCTCATAATACCCGTGGGGCTTTAAATACCCAGTTCATAAGCCATTAGTTGAAATCGAAATGGTATCCCCTAGGGAACAATATTTCAGCAACCTTTTGGTCCTCTCCAATGAATTGTTAATGTTTCAAATGCAATTAAAGGATTCGCCTACTTGCTTTGCGGATGGACCGTAGAAAATGGGCACCGAAAAAAAATGATTGGACTCATTCACAAGCATTTATACTTGCATGGATTTATGTGAGGGATAGTGAAGAAATTCCAGTTTGCTCCGTGTGGCAGCCATTTAATTTTTCGATCGGTTTAAACTAATTGGTTTACGCGGAAATCGCCTGAATTATCTTCTAAATTATTTGCCATTAGCAGCTATTTCATATTTACTCAGGTCTTAGGTTATTTTGTGGGCAACTCTAGGCTAAATCGGGGCAAATATCGACTCCCTTTGACGAGATGACCGGTCCTAGCGTTATTTAGTTCAAAATTACTGATGGTTTCCTTTTCAACCCCTTGTCTTTCCAACAAGCCTATCTCTTGCTCCCTGAATATTAATTTGAAACTTAACCTTCCCCGAAAGCCCAGAAATAATTAGGGGATCCGCTATGGATATTCAAAAATTCATTAGATGTCGACCTGGATTATGAAAATTCATAGACCAATTTTTCGTTTGCTCGGTTATCGAGAAGATTTTTTAATTGTAGAAGCATTATATCCAATTGCTTTTCAATTCTGAAAAAATGGCGTGAAAACCATTCCGAACTAAAATGCTACGAGGGCCCTTAGGGTGGGTCTACCATTGTAAGGAATCGCCATTTCTATAAAACGTAGTCAAGTTTAGCGTTTAAAGTGGCTAAACTGAATATACTGAAAAGTCCCAAGTGTAGCGAGATATCAAAGGAGAATTTTCAACAAATGTGAACATTTAAAGCTTGTTGAACAATCATACCTTGAATCCTCCAGCCATGGCCATTGGGGCGCTATTTCTACTGGACCTGGAAGAAACAAGAAATGAAAATTAGGAAGCACTGGTAATATTTTAGGCAGAGCTAGAAGGAAAATTGGTGGTTTGCCTGAAGATTATTTATTGTGTTGTGTGAAGCACCTTCTTAAGCCACGCACGCCACGCATTTTGTGCTTGGATACACTGGTGCCGTGTGGCAATAAATTGGTGCAATTTGAGTTAAACCAACAGAAATTTCCTAAGGTACGCACACAATTTCGCAGAGTTTTACCAGGATTTTTTCAGATGCTAAATCGAAGCGATTTTCCAAAAATTCGTCAAGGAAAAACCAAAATTTTCTCAACCCGACTCTTAGAATAGAAAGTCCGCTGCTTTAAGTGAGGAAAACGCCACTTTACTAGGAAATTTTTGACAGTTTCCAGTATTTTTTCAGTTCCTCAGGCGAGGCGATTGGCCGTTGAAACACACAAATTATTCAAAAATTTGACAAGAAAAAGCCAACAATCCGGCTCGAAATCACTCGAAATAGAAAATTTCGCTGCTTCAAGTGTGGAAAACGCACTTTAATAGGATTTTCCTGGGAGTTCCTCCACAACTTTTTCAGTTTCGAAGGTGAGGCGATTGTCCGTTGGCAAAACCCGGATTTTTCCAAAATTTGTCATGGAAAAACGAAAAATCTCCAAGACTGTCTACAAAATCTCTCGAATGCAAAAATCCGCTGCTTTACGTGAGGAAAAACTCACTTTAATGGGTATTTTCTGGTACTTTTTAGGATGTTTTCAGGTACTAAGGCGAGGCGATTGCTTATTGGAAAACACAAATTTTTCAAAACTTTTACAACAAACAGCCAAAAATCCCACATTAATAATAATAATATCTCATAATATCGCTCGAAAGAAAAAATAGGCTGCTTTAAGTGTGGAAAAACGCACTTTAATACGAAATTTCTGGGAGTTTTCAGAATTTTTTCAGATACTCAAGCGAAGCAGTTGGTCGGTGGACCAACCGATCACCGATTTTTCAAAAATTTGCCAAGACCAAACCAAAAATCCCGAGATCCAACCGATAATATAACTCCAAAGTGAAAATCCGCTGCTTTAAGTGAAGAAAAACTCACTTTCACAGGAAATTTCTGGGAGCATCCAAAATTTTTTCAGTTACGAAGAGCTAATTAATCTCATGTGACCATCTTTATCTTTTGACTTTTTACACTCTCCTAATTACCGGGGTCTCCAATAACAGTACGAGCGTTAGAAAACACGAAAAATACGACTTTTAACTTTCCAACTCAAGCTATAACCCTATATGCACACTCGCTCGCATCGCTTGGCTACTTTCAGCACCGCATCGCACCCTAAGCCCTAATTTCTTGCGACTTTATTTCGATAACCGCTGCCTACATTATCATTGTACAGTTAGCAAACAACAACTTTGCTCAAAAATCATGAGGAAATGTTCGCAATCCGCAATAATTTGCAACATGCTCAAGTCGGCAAAACATCGTACGGTTTATCGATCGTCGCCCGATTCCACGCTTTACGCTCATTTCTGGTGACCTTCAATAATTGCCCCAATAAATCAGGGAAAAGTGCGTAGTGTAATGCCCGCATTATACCAACTGATTCCGTACTAGTAGTTTGAGATTTTCAGAGGAAAATCACCTTTTTTCTTGTAAAACATGTACCTACAGTCGAAAGATCTCAAAAACTCAATTTTTTGGGGAAAAACAAGAGTTAAAACCTGGATGGTGGAGCTCATTGGATTGGAGAACTAGATCGATTATCGCCCAGCTGAGGAAAGTGAGTTCCTTGGCAATAAAAATATAGATTTTTGTGCGACTTTCATTCCAGAATAAGTAGATGTAAGGGCAAACATGACTTCACGTTTTTTCGCTTCAGACATCCCCGGACATAAACGCATGTTCAGGAGAGTGTATGGTAAATACGGTTGGAGCAATTTGTCTCAAAACAACTGGGAAAAGTTGAAATGAACGAAAACCGAGAAATGAATGAAGGTGCTGTAATTATGGGGGAAGTTTAATGAGAAGTGGGTAAAATAATTGGCCTTCAGTTGGAAGCAGTAGTTTAATAATTAGAAGCCTGGATTGCCGGTTGTGCAATAAGGAGGAATCTAATTTCTGCATCTGTGAGCGGTGGAGTGGAATAACTACAATTCGGTTGTTAAATGTAGGCGTTTATTAATGTTATGTTTGCTAAGAGGGTCAGTAGGGCTAGAGAGCAAGTCTCCTGTGGGAAAACAAAGGCCGATCTTGACTAATACAATAATGAGGAATGAGACCGGTCTCGAGAGGAATTGCAGGAATGGTGTAATTGAGGTTAGCCGCGTACAGGGCTGCTCGTTCTAGCTGTAATTAATCAGTAGACAGATGCGTGAGGGCGCGCGCTCTCGACTCTCCTCTATCCTTGTGACGTCTGCTAGCTCTAAAGTTTGCTTTCCGGGGGTAAGTGCATTGGTTCTTCTGCTTCTGGCGCTTTCCGATGAAACTTCACTAACACCGCGACGTCGGTCCACGTCGTGCCGTTTATTCCTGCTACTCTCTGCGTCCAATTCACGCTCTCCATTCGCGTTCTGGCTCCGTTCCATACCGCACTCTTGAGCGACGCGTCTGGAAAATAACGTAACTCGCGTATTTCCAACTTGGTTATGTGTCGTGATGCACTTGAACTTTCATTGCCGTCTGGAAAACCTGGCTATGTAAACATTTTAAAGTCTCAGGTAAACAGAACTTTCGTTTCTTTTTCTCACATTGGCTCCGATTTATTTTCGTTTTGAAAAGCGTATAAATGGCATGGAACGCTTTTAGCCAGAATTTCACGCTGACGGATGCTTGTCTCTGGATCAGTTTAAAATTCTTCTCTCTGGACAAATGTTGAAATTCGGCATGTTTCCAACAAAGCACTAACATCCATTTCACAAAGCACTCGCATACCATTTCACGGAGAAGTTTCATGATTAATTGAATATTGCGCTATTTTAAAATACTCTCTGTTGAAATTATTTTTCTTTCAAGAACCGACATCTTAATTGTTTAATGGTCAAAATAAACTGAAACTTCTTTAAACCCGAAACACGTGCATTGAAATTAGACAGTTTTCTTGCAGAATCGCGTACGAATAGCAATCGAGTGAATTGAAATTTTAATCAGAGCCGCTAATTTCTCCCAGTGTAAGTAGAACATTCTTCATTTGAACCAGATTCGAAAAATTCGGCAACCAAAAATAAGAGCAGATTTTTTTAAATTATTCACATAAAACACTGTTTCACTCTTTCGAGGGATATATGGAGATAATTGGCTTCAATTTTAAATCGGAAAAAAACTATTCTATATGCACTTTAGTCAATTTCCATAAATAGAGCTATCCAGTGGAAGCATGTCACCATGGCTTAGTTTGCTCAGTTGATGTGTTTGTGTGTTTTCTCTTTTTTACTCTGTTTGAATTGATGTCACAAATGCACATTATTCAAGCATATCTGTGCAGTCGGGCAATTTATAATTAATAGCAGCTACTATTTAGAGGGATGGAATCAATTCAATTTTTTTTTTCATAAATTGAGTAGTTTAAAATTAACTCACAAACCATGTGAATACTGGTAATCCTATTAAAATGGACCATAGTTAATATTCACATTTCAGATTGACGGACTGTGGGGGCAGACATAAAAATATGTACTTGAATCGGAAAATACTGTTGGTTTGACATTTCGAAAATTAATCTCTCTCTCCATAAGGGTGCAAAAGATTATAAATTTAAACCAATTTTAACATCCATAATATGTTTTGAATAAACCCAAATCCAAATTAATCATAATAAAACACATATGGCGGTCTATCTATTTGCTGTTTAATTATGCATAAACAGATAAAGTTCACAATTATTACTGTTTAGATTTTCTATTTAATGAAATGTTAATTATCCAAATCTAATGTCTGTATTAATATTTATTACTTTATTGAATTATTGAGGCCGTCACGTCAAAATATGTCACTTCTAAAATTTCAACAATGTGTTAATTTCGTTTTCCCTTCCCAGATTTAATTTCGACGTCGAGCTTTATTGAATGATAACTAATATGATTTGAGGAAAATATAGAGCAATCATTTAACCGAGTAAATATAATATAAACACCATATAGTAACGGTTCTTTCATTTTTGGTAACCGTAGGAAAAGCCAACATTTCTCAGGAAACTTTTGAAGTATATAAAGAATTATAAAACATTCAACACAATAAGATTAAGCTATAACTCGCGCACCATACACCATAAGATCTTAATTAAATCGGAGCAAATAATTCCCCGTCTCGTATATTAGGTCATTATGTTTAGGCCTTTTACTACTGTACTAAAGGGCAGCTAAATATACACTAACACATAATACTCAACCCACATGAGAGTAGTAAATAATCAGATTGGACAAATTCACTCAGCAATAAAATCTCCAATATCCGTTAAACTGGAATCTTTATATGCGGTTAAAAATTTGTTTAAATTTAAATCAACAGATCTACATATATGTATATACTTACTTAATTTTCATATTAGTTAGTTTTGTGACTGAAAAAGTTTTCCTTTTTGAGATCTATTTTTTAACATAATCTGTCTCAAAACCGGCCATGAAACTTGCGAGGCTAAAAGATACTGAGTGTAATTAATATTCATTGTCCCTAGTAATAAATATCAAACCAAACTTCTTAGGCAACATTTTATGAAAGAGAGGCGAATTTTGAGTTAAATTTCGCAGAGATAAGAGCAGCCTGTGCTACCTTCGCAGCCCGAAGGCGCGTTTAGAGTTTTGTCAATAAAAGGTGCTTGATAACAATCGGAGGAAAGCAGGAAGAAAGATGGCCCCAAATTTAATTGCTAATATATCTCTCGGAAGTTTGCGGCGCTGCTTTGAAGACAAGTTAACAAAATGGTACAAATATTTTTTTCGTCGCGTCAGAAACGTTAAAAGTTCAGTTATTGCAGGTGATTTACGGGTGCAGTTTTAGTATTCCCGAGAGAAAACTCATAGAATTACTTACAGTGCACTGTATTTTTGAGCAATTTATCTTGGCCTATAAATCGTTGCACTTCGTGCCATGATAAGGGAATGTTAGCAACTAGTTTTCTAACCTGCTTTAATACAATTCGCTACAGTTTTATCTGAAACTTCTACTTGGGAGCCTTGTACACACATTTTGAAGTGTAAAATTCTGTCTTAAGTGTGCCATAACTTTTTATTTACATTCCTCTCTCTAATCCCGGTGAATTTTTGATTAAATTTGGTCGACCAGGTTGAAACTTTGCCCCATCATTGCAACGGCATTATTATGCCGGGCCAAGAAACATAATCATCAAGCGGAAAATATGCCTATATATCTCATTAAGGTGGCTTTAGGAAAAATTAATTTGATTTTAGCCATAGCAGGATTAAATCTTTGACGTTTCTGAATGCAGCAAATCGGTACTAGGCCACATAAATTCTAATTTTAAAGTTTCCCCTGTTCATTTAGTTCTAATAAACCCAAACAGCATCGAGTTATAAGTACAAGGCATCCAAATGCTCATTTAGGGGTCGAGTTCAAATCGGAGATATATTAGTTCAATTTAATTCTTAATTGCTTTTGGGGTTTAAACTATTTTCAAAGTTTTCTGGTATTTGGCTGATGAGTTTGAATTATTTCCCATTGATGCTATTTGGGGGAGAAAACTCACATATAAATTTTAAATTTGTATATAACGAAAATCCTGTGAAAGCATTTTAATGAAAATTATCATATTAAAACAAATAGTAGATGAATAAAAATGCATGTTTGCTTTTTGGGAAAATTCTGTAAAATTTTAACAGAAAAGGCCTTGAAAATATTTTGCAAAAACATACAAAACGATGTTTGTGTTAAAGCTTCATGAACTGGATGAGAATTACCTTGGTTTAGGGTATTATTAGCCATTTAATGTAATGACCTATCATAAAACCTAAACTTATTCCGAGTCTTTACGATGATTCTCAAGGAAACGTCTGTAAATTACCCGGAAAATTGTCCTTTTTGCATAATACATGACAAGACAAATGTCCTCGATTATAAAAATGAATCCAGCTGAAAATGTCGAAAACTTATCATTAGAGAATATCGTTGGTTTATTTATGTTGCAATAAGTTTCAGGGTTCACTTTTCAGTCACAAGTCAGAAAACGTATAGTTTTATCACATTAACATAAAAGTTACCGAATTCAAAGCCTCATAACCGAAATACAATAAAAACATACACAGCTTTACATAAAACAGTCTAACCGAGCTTAACGGAAGAACTAGTTATTTTCGTTTGCATAGTATAGAATTTCCTAGATGCTTTGCAAATCTCCAACCACAGTCATTTAAATAATCCTGACATAAAACTACGGTATTGCTTTCATATTTTGTTTTAAAGTGCTCTAGTTTTGAAGCGCGTTCAAAGCTATAAAACATAATTGTTACCATTTGAAATGAGGAAAGTCGACTTAAGAGTTTGGACTAGTTTTTAAGACGCAGAGAGCTCATTTAATGTGAGACATCAACTGAAAGGAGTGATTTTGTTGTTTTTCCAGAATTGACAAATTTGTCTCATTGGAAAAATTGTTTTCGGTGTCTAGGAATATCCTTCCTCCACTATATATGAACAGTGAGAGAACTTTTGACTCGGGATAATGGCCGCTAGAAAGAGACGATAGGGAATATAATAAAATGTAGAGCAAGCTAGAAAGTAGGTAAACCTTGTCAATGGAGACAGCGCATTTAATATCATTTGGAGCTGGCAAGACGAACGATGGCGGTAGCTTTAATTGCTAATATATCTTCCGAAAGTTTGCGGCGCTCCGAGGACAATGTTAAACCTGTTACCAATAAATCCGTGCTTGTCAAGTACTAATTAGTGGTTTAATACTATCCTCTCGTGACGCTCGGCCAGTATATTTCCAGTTCGCATTGGAGGAAGATGAGGGGATTACATTTGAATTTTAAGTAATGAGGGTCTAGTTACAGCTGGGACCAGAGCATCGATTAAAATTACTTTTCCTTCTCTATCAACAGCTTCTGGATTCTTATTTTTCCCTAAGACCTGAGCAGGTGTATTTAATGAAAATAGAGCTTCCAAAGTATCGTTGATCATTGCAGAATCTGGAAATATGGAACACATAAATCGTCAATAAAATGCCGCTGTTTTGTAACTTGTTACAAAATATAGATGAATGGTAGACAAGACTGTAATTCCAGGTCAATGCATATAGTGCACTGCACGTACTGGCGAACAGCATTATTGCACTCATAAATTCGGGTGTTCAAATATTTAACATTTTACTCCACCCCTCTCCGGCAATAAAATCTCGCTCGATCTATGATGTTGAAATATTTAAAACAATGCCCAAATGTTTCCCATAACCATAGCATTTTCCACATGTATTCCGTAAAAAATTATCATTCTTTCTCCATAGCAATGGAACAAACTTGATATATAAATAATGTATACAAATTGCTTCCGGAATGGTCAGTTTTCGAACGTACTCTAGCTTGGTTTATTATGTACACAAGTTAGGAAAACCGTTGGACGTAAAAATAAACAGTGCATATTTGGATTCCAATATTGCTTTAAAGCACTTAAAACTGCCTGTTTTTTAAATTTCGCTGCTGGTAAAAATATACAGTTTAACCGTACAAATTTGCATTTGGCTTTAGAATGCTGAATATAATTATGTTGCTTG